TTGTGGAGCTCATTCTGTGGTTGAATGATCTCGAAGGGGTTGGAGGATTGGAGTCGATGCTCAATTATTATTCAAATGCCATGATAAGTGTCAGAGGTAGTACATATGAAAGAATGGATGAGAAGACAATAGAAAAGAGAGTTGTTGTTAGGTTTTGATCTATCAATATACATTTGGTGAAATCATGATTGAGAAAAGGAATGTTATTGCATATGGTATGTACTTTGCCGAACAACTTGAAATAATTTGAGGATCTGTGCCTTCTAATTCAAATGATTTTTTGAGGTGAGCTACGTAGAGACAAGGATTCAAATGTTGCTCAAGATGAATTTCAGTTGGGCAGGTATTCCAAAGCCTCCAAAGTGGAGAGACCAAAATAGACACCATAGATGTAGCCGACGCTCGAACGACGTGGCTCAGTTCTTGAGGAAAGAGGAGACTAGAAGCCTCATTAAAGAACTCAAGCATGAAACCATTAAGAACAAGCGTCGAGCTCCGAGACAAAATTGATAAGTGGTAGAATGGGACATGATGGAAATTGTCAATCAGGGCCTCTGTTTCTTCTGATTAAGTGGTAGGAGGAAGGAGAGGAGGTGTCGTGAGACCGTGGAGCTCGAAAAAATATTACAGCAGGAGTAGTATTGTAATAGTATTGTGATTATATTGTAGTCTTATTATGAAAATATTCTAGTGGTATTGTAGCGGTTCTTTGATGATATTCTATTGATGTTTTTATGAAGATTTGTTGTTTTTTTTTTTGTGTTTTCATATTATTATGATGTTATCTTGTGGTATTAGGGCCGTATTTGTATTTTTTTAGGTTTTGTGGTTATAGTTTATTGATTTTCATACTTAATCATGGTTAAACTTTTCTATAAATGTGTTGTTTTGCGAGACTGAGGTTGTTGGTAATGATCCAACTGCAACAATATTTTTTGGCACCATTGTAGACAATGAAAAAGAAACATTTGAATTATATTGTGTTTATGCACATTATATTGGATTTACCTTTCGAAAGGACCAGAGTATTCTTTTCCCAAATTCGAGGAAAATTAAGTCAAATGACTTTTTATGTGGTAAAACTTGTTTTAAGGAGTTGAAGTTCACCAACACGGTGAAGTTAAAAAATTGGACACAATTATTGGTTGTCCAACAATGATTTAATATGAAGTTGATGTTGAAGGTAATTGGGAAATTAAAAAAATTATAGAAAATCATAACCATTCATTCGCAAAGTCTGGTGATAAGCGTTCCAACAAAAAAGATAAACGAAATCAATGTAGTTATGGTCATATCTATGACAAAATCAGAGATTAGAGCTACAAATGCACTTAACTTTCTCGCTACAAATATATGTGGAGTAGAGAAGCATGAATGTACGAAGAGATATATCTTCAATTTCATTTAAAAAGTGAGAAGAGCTAAAATTGAAAATGGTTACACTAATTCTTTATTACAATTGTTCACAGAGAGACAATTGAGGATGATCTGTTTTCGTGGGACTTCCAAATTGATTAGTGATGACATGTATAGGCTTGATTATGACTGCTTTGAGGATGTCGTTATTTTTTATACAAATTATAAATTGAATAAATATAATTTATATTGTGCTCATTTTATCGGCGTGAACCACCATTGACAAAATGTTCTCTTCAGAGTTAGTTTTTTGTTCGATGAGATGATTGATTTGTTCAACCGATTATTCAAAACATTTATTTGTATAATGGATGATAATCATCCAATAACAATATTTACTGATCAAGATTAAACAATGACAAGAGCGATGAAGATTCTATACCACATACAAGACATAAATTATGCCAGTGGCGTATATATAAGAAATTTCCTTCAAACATTTATTTTGGTGTGGGTAATATACAATCAACGACCTTTTCTATAAATGTATGAGCAAATGCAACTCTGAAAAGGAGTTTGAACAAAATTGGGCTGTCATGATTGAGAAAAGAAATATACATGACAACGTTTGGCTAGATGATTTGTACAACATTAGAATAGTGGTCAACAACATTTGATAAAGAAATATTTGGAATGAGAATTCTATCAACACAAAGAAGTGAGTCCAAGAATAATATTTCTCATGGTATCTCTAAGCCAACAAGCTTTATTACTATTTATTTTATGGGACTTGGAAGTATCATTAAAACATGGAGATGAAATGAGAATGATAAGGATTTCAAATGTGCTCAGTCTGTAATTGCACCCGTTGCTAAAAACAACACAGTGTTGAGGCAAATAGCTTTATTTATTCAAGAAAGTTGTATTTAATGTTCGAGAAAGAGTTATTATATGAGTTATGTGATCTTGCTGTAGAATTCTCTGCAAATAGTACTTCAGAATTTTACATTAAAAATTTAGATAATCAAGGGACAAAAAAACATTTGATTGCTAAATATGAGAAGTCTAATTCTGAAATTAGTTTCTGATGCAAAATTTTTGAAAATTTGTGCACTAATTTGTGTGTACTATAATCTTATAAATTTAGCATTCATTTATTATTCCATTTGAACTTCAGCTCTGAATGCATTTCTAAATGATTTTCCAGTACCACACATAGAATTCTAAGTTGAAAGATGCATAAATATGAGTATAACATTAAAATTCACACATATCGGTCGTATAACCAATATTTATAATAAAAATAAAACTAATTTAAAGATAACATGATATTAGCTAATCATTTTAAAATCAGTTACAAAGCACACAACGCCCACAGACAAAGTTCATAAATATATTCAGCTCTAAATTGTCATTTTTTTCCTGCCAGCCCAATTTATCGCTTCAATCAACTTTCCCGATGCCTACTAATATTTCGATATACTTGCAAATAAGCATGCCACAATCAATACCATTAGTTTGTTTAGGGGTGCCTCTTGCCATAATAACTGGTCATTTTGATGGATTGCGCAGAAAACTTTCCCAACATTTTTAGCAAATAATTTGATATGTAAAGATTCAGGTTGAATTAAAATGTGTCATACAATGCAAAGAAATATGAATTGAATAACGAATCACCGAGTTTCTGTTGAATATAATAACAAAGCTGTGGGTGGTCGTTTTTTGCATCTTATTGGGTATAGAGTTATATAATCTCCACTTCTTATCTTTCAAATCCGCCACCACGTTGTTGTTTATCCACAATAAAAATTAGTACAATTTGAGCTTTTCTGAAAATTTATTTTATGATGTGTTCTACGAACATTAAGTTGTCTTTTTATTTATATAACTTCATAAAATGACACAAATGTCATCGTAGAAGAAGCATACAAATAAATGCTACGTTAACTTTAAAAAATATAGTTAAACTTGAATAATTACCCAATGCAGTGACAATACATATAGGAAAGGTCTGTATAATGTTGATGATTTAATCTTCTTCCTCTCTATTATAATGCAAAAGCATTGATGTGTTCATTTACAAACCAATCATTTATCAAAATATCATCAAGACCAAAACAACTAATTACTATAACCATAATATTGTGGTGATAAGATGAATTTCTTTTTCTTCCAATACTAAATCATCATCTCATATGGTTAATTTAGCTATCAAGGTTGTCATTGAACAAAGCAGGTAAAATCTATATAAAGCAATGCCAACCAAAATTTTACTTAGATGTTCTTTGTCGACTCCCACGCTTTCTATTTTCCTTGAGTTTTTTCATTCTTTCATATTAGCTTGCTTGAAAATACAAAGATAAGTACATAAGTTCGCACCCTAAACCCTAAATCCTCATGCAAGACTTGTTTTAGAAAAACCAAACATCACAATAACCTAAATGGTGAGAGCGAGAGAGAGACTGCGAATGCTTCTCGTCTGGCGATCTACAATGCAAGGGATTTCAAACGAACCAAACCCTAGCTACGAAATCACAGATGAAAATCTCGTCTGGTGATAGGAGAAAATGGAAATTACAAGAGGCGCGTGGGGTTTTGTTTTTGAAGCATGGGTTGGTTCAGGCCGAGTCATGTTCCAAAACACACCTTTTTTGTTTTATTGTTATTTATTTATTTGTGGGTTCATCACTCTACATGTGACGAATTATCATTGAAGTTCGGAGGCATAGTTGCGTCCGGAGTTCTGAAGCAATAATTGAGGAGCCCCAATACCATGAAGAGTACCGAGAGAATAGAAAGAGAAAGGCAGGCTAGCAGCTTTTCATTGGAGTTCTCCACATGCTTTTCGGTAAAATAAAGTAATATATGCATATGTGAGATTTTTTGTTGGTTACAGGAGGAATGACTAGGATTAAGTAGTTGTGGTTGGAGGGTCCAAATTTGCCTGGCACGGAGCAGAAGAGGATGTAGAAAAGCAGGCACTTGTCATAGGTGATTTGAGCTAGAATTATGTCAATCACATTGATAGCCTTGGATACTTTTTGATGTTTTGAATGCAAATGTGAAGTCCATTTTTACAAAAGGCGTTGCTTCAGGAAGATTTCAAGCATGTTCGAGACATTTCAAATTTGACATTACAGGGTTGCTTTCACTTACTCTTGCCAATTAGTACATTTGAAGTCAACATATATTTGATGCATAATTTTAGTTAGGACCTTTCATCTTTAAAAAATGAACTACAAATTCTTAAAGACAATTTCAAACAAAGATTAATGATAAACTTTTCAGTAATAGATATATATTTGTTTTTTTTTAATTATAAACATTTCAATAATATGCTTGTTTGTCAAATAAGTAAACTAAATAATTACGCAAAGCGATTAAGCAATTGCAGTAACTGATTGGAAAAACTACGAACAGGAAAATCTGAGAGCAAAAGCAATTAAACAACTTCAACTTTTTTTATTTTTTTCTATTTTTTTATTTATTTTAAAGTTCACAACAAACAATACTGCTTTGCACTTATTTAGTAGTCGTATTTAAAAACATTAAAAAAATTAAATATATATTTTTTAGTAAATTAATAAATCAAAGACATATTTCATACAACTTATTATAATAATTACAACCCATATATTTTTATTTTCAAATGTTAAACAATGATATTATTCGATCATTGATTACATAAATATATATTCTTATAACAACAGTGCATAAGTTGCATCTCAAACAAATGTGACCACTATTGGGCTACTAGCATAATACTTCCCAGAATCCCAATTCAATCGCCCTTCTCTCACCTCACCAGCAGCTGGCTTAGGCAAGCCCCCCTTCAAACTAAATTTCACCTCATAGCTCATCTCTTCCCCTACCTGGTTAAATTGTAACGTGTTTGGAGTTACCTCAACCCTTACCCCTTCTGGGTCCTTCACATCCAGAGTATAAGTTGACCCTGCATCCCCGACATTTATTACTTTCCTCATCACCCTCCCCTCTGGTTTGTTGCCTCCGATACTCACACTAAAAGATGGATAATTAAGTTGCTCTGGCGCTATTGATTTTACCTGCGCACAATTCACCCTAGTCTTTATGATCATTTGTACTGGAATATTCGATTTATAGTATCCACATAAGTAATGGACATAGTCATAGTAATTTAGCTCGTATATAATCCCAGGTTTCGTGGCTGCTTCTGGATCTATATGGCCTGCTCCTTGCTCGAACACCGTAGCGGGAGTACCTTCGTATTCGTCTGTGATTGGATTCCCTTTGCGGTCTAATGTATATGCGGTTGTCATAATCGCTGATTTGATTGCCGCCGGTGACCAGTTCGGGTACTTGTTTCTTAACAGTGCCACGATGCCAGACACATGCGGAGTAGCCATGGACGTACCGCTTAAGAAGTTAAATATGGATTTGGTGGGCCCCACCGTTCGCGGCCACGCAGCTAGAATACTGACTCCTGGTGCAATGATATCAGGTTTTATGATCCCTCCATTGGTCAAGCTCGGTCCTCGTGATGAGAAGACTGCGACGGCTGGGGCAGAGTTAACTCCAAATAGGGTCCCACGAAAGTTTATCGTTGCAGTCGGGTTCACTGTGTTGCGATAGTACTCGTCTATGGCATTGCTACCAGTGTTGTTAAGTTGTGAGGCAGGGAGCACATGTACATAAGCGTTAGTGGTCTCTCCTGCCACCATATTATTCAATAAAATCATGGCTTTGCCACCGGAAGTCAACACATTGCGGCCACGCACATCATCCTCTATGCCATAGCGAAAGCATATAACAATTTTGTCCCTAAGATTTAACTTCTTGAGCTCAACCAATTTACAACCCATTGAATCAGGCGTTCCAAGCTGTTCGGATGGGTATGCCAGTGGTATTTGAGTTGAAGGAAAGGTCCCAGGTTGGTAAGCTGACTCACCTAGCACCAATAGTTAGTATCCATGGCACAACACTGAAGCCATTATTCTTCTATCGACAGTACTCGCACCAACAGTTAGTATCCATGGCGCGTCATTAGCTAATATGCTCGGTGTTGGCCCCTCGTTCATCATGCAAGCACATGGAACAATCCCTTTTGTTATAGCCGCAAATGAACCAACAACAACCCAATAACCGGACTATCAAACAGATCAAGCTTGACCGCCCCAAGCGACATTTGAAGAATATCAACATGGTCACGCATGGCCTGTTCTATACCAGCATAGATATCTGCATCAGTACCGGTAGAGTGGCCCGATGGGCCGAGAAATAAGACTTTATAAATAGCAAGATGAGCACGTGGGGCCATGCCAGAGGCTGTCCCGGCAGCCTGCCCTATCACATTGGCATTATTGACGAAATTCCCGGCCGCAGCCGCTGTGCTAGCAACGTGGGTGCCATGGCCATCGTTGTCATATGGGTCAGAGTAAGCTCTGTAACGAAATGCGATGGCACCGAGGAGTTTGTTGTTGCAAGTACGTGCATTCCCCCAATAGCATTTGCCACTCCACTTCAGAGGAGCAGGTGTCATCCCATGGTCATTGAAGGAGGGATGATATGGGTTGATGCCACTATCGATGACACCAATAATTTGACCGGCGCCCATGGAAGAGTCATACCATAAAGTGTTCGATGGTTTTCCTTTAAGGGAAAGGAAGGTGGGGGTGTAGGTTGTGGAAGCATAGTGTTCTCGTTCTGGGTTTGCCTGGATGAAGCCATCAATGGATTCCATTGCATCGACTTCTTCGGGGGTTAGGCGGGCGGCAAAGCCGGTGATGACTTCACGATAGATGTATACCATACGAGGTTCTCCGGTGTCAAGGGTGGCATTTGGAAGAAAAGACATGTACCAATTTTTAAGATCGCGTAAGCGAAGTGAACGGTTGTAGATGCCACGAGGCTTCTCCACGTGAACGATGTAGACGGGAGTTTTGGCGGGGTCGATGCCGCCACCTTCGTTGGTGATGGGGAATTGTTGGGAGTGGAGCAAGGGAAATGAATGAGATGAGAAGACGTGAAAGAGGAAGAGGAAGAGGTGAAGGATGGCGGCACCCATGAATATTTATATTATCACTTCTAAGAAACTAGGTGGTGGCTGATGATTCCTCACCGTCTAAAAGGGTCATATTTATATCTTAAAAAGGGAACAAATATAAAGGAAAAATGATTAAAACATGTTATGATTAGAACAAATGGTGGACAGCTCATAAAAGGGGCATGCCGGACCATGCTTTTTTTATATATTCTTTTTGCATGGGATACTTTGCGTCCTATGCTTGGTGTCAATACTGTTCCGAGCATTATTATTATAATATAGTAATGGATGCTATATATATATAAGGCCGCTGTGCTTGCAACGTGGGTGCCATGGCCATCGTTGTCGTACGGGTCAGAGTAAGCTCTGTAACGAAATGCGACGGCACCGAGGAGTTTGTTGTTGCATTGTGCTTGAAATGATGAAGGAATGCTATATATATATATATATCGTTTCTTCTAAGCAAGATCGAACACGTGCATCACTCCATTGTCATTAAGGATGTAAACGAGCCGAACACGAGTGAGTCCAGGCTCAACTTATGTTCGGCTCGTTTATATTTCACGCTCAAAAAGTGTATTCTTGTTCGGCTAATTTGCTTAGTGATTCTGATTCTCTTTATAGATGTCAAATTGTGATGTATGTGATTATATATTAATGTCCTTAATAATGATTCTTACTTTGCAACAAAGCCAAAAACTTTATCTCAAGCAAAAGCAAGGTAAATTCTCAACTTCAAAGCAAATAAGAATACAATTATAATATTTAATTATGAGATACTACGCAAGTATACGTATCGTTATCAAGTAATATATGACTTATTGATTAAGCCCCAAATATCGAACTCATAGAGAAAACTTAGAGAAAAAACTCATAGAGAAAACTACAATATACAACTTACAAAACAAGAGAAATTAGATAACAAAATTTTACTTAGCAAAATATTCTTATTTAAACTATAGATACTGAAGTAGAAATGAAAGTTCAATTCCTTTTGTAATTTTTGATAATTTGAAAATAAAGTAAGCAACTAACTAACTTAATTAAATACTAGCAAGATGAAGACAATATGAATAAAATATCTTTTTCCTTGTCATGAATCAGCAACAAGTATATGAGTTATGTTGTGGAAGTATTCTAATTGTGTTGTGTCAAATATGAGTAATAATATTTTTTACCCTTACTAGAGATGTTATCAAGAACATTGATTAATCTATAGTTTGAATAGCCTTGAAGACGGATTAGGTAATGAAGATACTAGCTCTCACTCTAGAGTTCCCTCTTCTCCCTCCACCTGAAGGCTAACATCTTGTATCAAAACCTAAAACTATAAATCAAATTGGGAGTTTTAGTCTGTCACTCTAAAATCCTTTAATTTTATAGCCTTTAAAATGTATTTCTCTATTTATTTGACTCAATCTAATGAAATACATTCTCATCCATGAAATCAAATGTGATTCTTACCATTTGTTGACCGAGACAATACCATCTCGGATCTTACATATTCTCACAATAGGTATTAACATCTTAATTGACTAAATCAAGAAGTAAATGAAGTACAAGGTTTAAAATCATCACAACTTCTTCCAACATTAAAGTCTAATACTTCACACAATTTCTCTCAAATACTTAATCACTTATCATTTTAAAGAAAAATATAAAGAAAACTACTCAGAATTTATGAAGAAAATACAACCACACTTAAGTTTGAAAGTACATATCATACACTCAAACAAGAAGTCCAAATTAAAACCAAATGTAGTTATAAAGATAAACACTTATCTCAAATCATCTCCACCAAATGTCTTGAAGTTTAGGCGCAACTCTCTTTGTTTAACTGACGCGTAAGCCTCAGTCCTGGATGCTTAGGCGCCTTTGTTCATTTTTGCACCTTCTTCATTTTGCTCCAAATTTGATCATTTTTCACTCCCTTCACCATTTTTCATCCATTTGATTGTACTCATCCATTTGATTGTACCATCCATTTGATTGTACCTGAAAGAAAAACACAAATACTTTTCATTACAATATCTCAAAAATAAGTATAAAAATGTGTTCATAAAAACTATATATTTTAGGTGTATCACTTAGCGAGTCGAACACGAGCTGTTCACGAATAAAGAGTCGTTTTGACAACCTTAATCACGTAGCCATAAGATGTCAAGGGTTGGGATTAAATTTAAAAATTATTGTTTATATTAAAACATCATTTGAATCTAATTTAATATTTTTTATTCTATTTTCTTAATTAATACTTTTAATTGATTATAATTCTTTGTAGCCTTGTATTCAATTAAATTTTTTAAAAATACTACTCATCAACATATATATAAATCTATTGATGAGTAATATTTCGAGCTAAAACTAGTCGAACACGAATGAAAAAAATATTTGTTTGTGTTCGGCTTGTTAACATAGCGAACGTGCCGAACACGAGTTGTTCGTGAACAATAAGTCATTTTGACAACCTTAATTGTCATTTACTTATTGTTACTCGGTTAATTCCACTTCATCGACTACTGTCTAGCTTGAAACTTTTATTTTTGATAATTTTTGTAAGTTTCTAACTTGATTTTTATAAAGACAAAAATTCTAGTTTAAACTTGAGAGGTAAACCTAGCAAGTGAAAGTATCTTCTCTGACTTAAAATCCTAAAAACCTAGTGTTTACAAAGTGACATCTTTGACAGTGAAACAACCAATTGCTTTGAAAATTTTAAATTCATTTTCAAAAAAAAAAGCATTCAAATTTAAAATTTAAAAATTAACACTCTCATGCATGTCATGTTATCAATGGGACAGGGTCACAAGTCTAGTCAGTCCAATCTGATCCTTCTCTTGATAGAGACAAGATTCAACAAGATTGACCTACCATTTTGTTGGTCTTATTATTTTCCGTGAAATAATTAAATTTGATGAGATTGACTAAAGATTGTATATTGCTCTTCTATAAGATATTGGGGGAGTATTTTATCTTTATATCCATAGAGAATATTCAAACACTTCATTAAAAGAATTCAACTCAAGCCATGATTCACAATATTATTGTATTTTCTAAATTAAATAAAAAAAGCAACAAGAAGATTAATTGATAGCCCTAATTTTTATAATTGTGATAGAGTTGATAAGGTTCAAATTTATCTAAATTCCTGATAATGGTCTAGCTGATGAATAATTTCAATACGACGAATATATTTTTTAAAATTAAGCTACAAACTTATTTGAATAAATTCAACTCATGAACTCTGTTTAAATTCAATCATATATCAATTATGAACCTAATCTCTTACAAGCAAAAATATAAGGTTAACATTATTCAAATCATGAAGTGAAATCAAAACTCTGATGACGACCAAGTTGATAGAAGATTTGAACAAGAGAAATCAATTTTTGAAATTAAGCATTCAACTCTATTTGAAATTAAGCAGGATAATTTTTGATGTTTTGAATGCAACTGTGAAGTTCATTTTTACAAAAGGCCTTGCTTGAGGAGGATTTCAAGCATGTTCGAGACATTTCAAATTTGACATTACAGGGTTACTTTCACTTACTCTTGCCAATTAATACATTTGAAGTCAACATATATTTTATGTATAATTTTAGTTAGGACCTTTCATCTTTAAAAAATGAACTACAAATCTTTAAAGATAATTTCAAACAAAGATTAATGATAAACTTTTCAATAATAGATATATATTTGTTATTTTAATTATAAACATTTCAATAATATGCTTGTTTGTCAAATAAGTAAACTAAATAATTACGCAAAGCGATTAAGCAATTGCAGTAACCGATTGGAATAACTACGAACAGGAAAATCTGAGAGCAAAAGCAATTAAACAACTTCAACTTTTTTTATTTTTTTCTATTTTTTTTATTTATTTTAAAGTTCACAACAAACAATACTGCTTTGCACTTATTTAGTAGTCGTATTTAAAAACATTTAAAAAATTAAATATATATTTTTTAGTAAATTAATAAATCAAAGACATATTTCATACAACTTATTATAATAATTACAACCCATATATTTTTATTTTCAAATGTTAAACAATGATATTATCCGATCATTGATTACATAAATATATATTCTTATAACAACAATGCATAAGTTGCATCTCAAACAAATGTGACCACTATTGGGCTACTAGCATAATACTTCCCAGAATCCCAATTCAATCGCCCTTCTCTCACCTCACCAGCAGCTGGCTTAGGCAAGCCCCCCTTCAAACTAAATTTCACCTCATAGCTCATCTCTTCCCCTACCTGGTTAAATTGTAACGTGTTTGGAGTTACCTCAACCCTTACCCCTTCTGGGTCTTTCACATCCACAGTATAAGTTGACCCTGCATCCCCGACATTTATTACTTTCCTCATCACCCGCACCTCTGGTTTGTTGCCTCCGATACTCACACTAAAAGATGGATAATTAAGTTGCTCTGGCGCTATTGATTTTACCTGCGCACAATTCACCCTAGTCTTTATGATCATTTGTACTGGAATATTCGATTTATAGTATCCACATAAGTAATGGACATAGTCATAGTCGTTTAGCTCATATATAATCCCAGGATTCGTGGCTGCTTCCGGATCTATATGGCCTGCTCCTTGCTCAAACACCGTAGCTGAATTACCTTTGTATTCGTCGGTGATTGTATTCCCTTTGAGGTCTAATGTATATGCAGTTGTCATAATCGCTGATTTGAGTGCCGCCGGTGACCACTTCGGGTACTTATTTCTTAACAGGGCCACGATCCCGGACACATGCGGAGTAGCCATGGACGTGCCGCTTAAAAAGTTAAATATAGATTTGGTGGGGCCCACAGTTTGTGGCCACGCAGCTAGAATATTGACTCCTGGTGCAATGACATCAGGTTTTATGATGCCTCCATTGCTCAAGCTCGGTCCACGTGATGAGAAGGCTGCGACAGCCGGGGCAGAGTTTATTCCAAATAAGGTCCCATGAAAGTTTATCGCTGCAGTCGGGTTGGTTGTGTTGCGATAGTACTCGTCTATGGCTATACTACCGGTGTTGTTGAGGTTTGAGGCAGGGAGTTCATGCGCGTAAGCGTTTGTGGTCTCACCTGCATTCGCATGATTCAACAAAATCATGGCTTTGCCACTGGAAGTCAACACATTGCGGCCACGCTCATCATCCTCTATGTCAAAGCGAAAGCATATAACAATTTTATCCCGTAGATTTAACTTTTTTAGCTCAGCCAAATTACAACCTTTGGAATCAAGTGTTCCAAGCTGCTCAGATGGGTATGCGAGTGGTATTTGAGTTGAAGGAAATGTCCCAGGTTGGTATGCCGACTCACCCGCTAACTCCGAGCCATTTCCGAGATACACTGAAGCCATTATTCTTCTATCGACAGTACTCGCACCAACAGTTAGTATCCATGGCGCGTCATTAGCTAATATGCTCGGTGTTGGCCCCTCGTTCATGTTGTTGGCCACAGCAGCACATGGAACAATCCCTTTTTTAATAGCCGCAAATGAACCAATTACAACCGGATTATTAAACATATCAAGCTTGACCAACCCAAGCGACATCTGAAGAATATCAACATGGTCACGAATGGCTTGTTCTATACCAGCATAGACATCTGAATCAGTACCCACAGTGTGGCCCGATTTGTCGAGAAACATAACTTTATAAATAGCAAGATGAGCGCGTGGGGCCATGCCGGAGGCTGTCCCGGCAGCCTGCCCGGTCACATTGGCGTTATTGACGAAATTCCCAGCTGCTATGCTAGCAACGTGGGTGCCATGGCCATCGTTGTCGTACGGGTTAGAGTAAACTCCGTAACGAAATGCGACGGCTCCGAGGAGCTTGTTGTTGCAAGTAGCAAGTACGTGCATTCCTCCAATAGCATTTGCCACTCCACTTCAGAGGAGCAGGGGTCATCCCATGGTCATTGAAGGAGGGATGATATGGGTTGATGCCACTATCGATGACACCAATAATTTGACCGGCGCCCATGGAAGAGTCATACCATAGGGTGTTCGATGGTTTTCCTTTAAGGGAAAGGAAGGTGGGGGTGTAGGTTGTGGAAGCATAGTGTTCTCGTTCTGGGTTAGCTTGGATGAAGCCATCAAGGGATTCCATTGCTTCGACTTCTTCGGGGGTTAAGCGGGCTGCAAAGCCGGTGATGACTTCACGATAGGTGTATATCATCCGAGGTTCGCCGGAGGCGAGGGTAGCATTTGGCAGAAAAGACATGTACCAATTTTTGAGGTCGCGTAATCGAAGTGGACGTCGTGAGGCTTCTCCACGTGGACAATGTAGACAGGGGTTTTGGTGGGGTCGATGCCGCCACCTTCGTTGGTGATGGGGAATTGTTGGGAGTGGAGCAAGGGAAATGAATGTGATGAGAATACGACGAAAATGAAGAGGGTAAGGATGGCGGCACCCATTGAAATTTATATTATCACTTATAGGAAACTAAGTGATGACTGCTGATGCCTCTCTGTCTAAAAGGGTCGTATTTATATCGTAAAAAAGAAAAAAATGAAAGGGAAAAATGATTTAAACATGTTATGATTAGAACAAATGATGGACCAAGCTTTTTTATTATGATTAAAACAAATGATGGACCGAGCTTTATATATATATATAATTTTTTTTGCATGGGATCCTTTGCATCCAATGCTTGGGGTTCAAATACTGTTGCGAAAGCAATTTACCTCGTGACTCGAGGATTCAAATATAATATATATATATATCTGTGTGTGTGTGTAAATTTAATGTAAAAGATAAATTTTAGGAGCTAAATATGTAAATTGATATTAATAGGTTGATATGTATGTAAATGTCACAAAAAATAATTTGAAACAATAATCACGACAAATAAATGAATTTAATAACTGATTAAGCATTTTGAGATGACATCTCATACTTTGGTGAGGTGTGCATCCTATGAGGGCAGGTGAGATCCACTAACCCTAATATTTCTTGATACCCAAATTCAAGCTGTAATATAAGTTAAAATTGAAGTTAAAAGACATTTTTAAGGCATTAATCACTTTATTTGAAACCATCTAGCAAACAAAAAATTAAATTTAAACTTACATTGAAATCAAAACTGAATATTAAAGTTCATTGGAAGCACGCTACTCTAGCTCACACTTTACATTTGATTGCTAGGCCACCAATCTACATCTAGATAAGGGGGCTGCCAGTTAATTGCTGTGTGTTGATGTGGTTATCCGTGGAGTATTGTTATGAATAGATGTGACGGCTTTTGCGTGTTAAATTACTCGATGCTATGTCGACTCATTATACACTAGATTAGCTATTAGATTAAAACAGGCTCTTTTCTTCCAAGTCGATGATGAAAGATTCGATCCACATCTGGTTGAACTTTTCCCACAGCTTGCCTCACATGATTGGGTCGGCTTTCATCAACATGAGGTTCCTAGAGGCAAAGCTCTTCTCTTGGATGTGTTTATTGCAATACCAAGTCGTCCTCCTCTTCACCTCCTCTCTCTGAAGGGCTGAATCGGCTCAGTTCTTCTTAGCAAGTTCGAGCACAAGCATCACTCTCTTATCATTTACTTCTTGACACTCGGTAGTTCCACTTCGTCGACTACCATCTAACTTGAATCATCGATTGTTAGTAATTTTTGAAAGCCTCTAACTTTAATTTTGTAAAGACAAATTATAGTTTAAACTTGAGAGGTAAATCTAGCAAGTGAAAGTATCTTGCGTGAATTAAAATCCTAAAAAATGTTTACTATAGGGAATAATTTTCTTCATTAACTCCTCCCTGTGGAAATAAAAAAGTTATGAAAATTAAGAAATTTAGTTCCCTAAATTCAGTGAAATTCCCAATATGATGTATATTCTTATAATATAGCACTAAACCAAGAGAAATATTCTTATTCTCCTAATTAATGAATGTTATCCTGAATGTTCCACTTTGGATTCTTTTGAAACTCAAAGTTTATAATAATTTTTAACAATTCAACTGGTCATATCGCATGTAATGAGGATTTAACAGATAAAATGCCACAACAATATTATTTCATATAAGAAACATAAACGACATCAAAACAATAGAATTTCTACTCACCAACTCAAATGAAAAAAGAGGACGAGTGATTATTCATGTTTTGAAACAATAAAATAAACATTCTCTTAATCAAAGTTAGTAAAGTACATGGCGACTTTAGCAATAAGAACCAGTAAAAAAAAAAGCATCTTTAAGTTGCAAAGTTGTCTTCTCCACTCTGCCGCCATTAACGATCACTAAATCTCTCGCACAATCCACTTGAATAGTTGCTTGCAAATCCCTCACAAACTATGAATCTCCCTTAGAATGTCACTCTCACTCACACACAAGGGAAATGAGAGAAAAGAAGAGAATGTGATTCTCCAAATGCTTGAGAGGTCCCCCTTTCTTCAGAAAAATTTGCCTTTAGTAGCTTGTAAGAAGCACCACATAGACATCAACCACCATAAGTCTCTAAATCGGTTCGTCAACTATGGGTTTTCTTCTTGGAATGTAAGGGTCTTGCTCACTTTGTAAGGAAACAGCGTTGGGTTCCAATTGGTAGAAGGGTGCACCAGTTCTGTAGGGGGTGCCTAGGTGCCTCATACCTAGTGCGCAGGCGCTAGGCACTCAGTTTGAGTGTATGGGAAGTTCCTAGGCGACCATAAGGTGGTGCTTAGGTGCAACTTATGCCAACATGGACTTTGTGGCTTGGTGGCTCCATTGGACTCATGACTGTAGCAGCCGCCTTCTATTTCACTCTAATATTTACTAATGTATCTTTTAAAGCTTTCATAAATAATTGTCTTGCAATACACAAAAAAAAAAAAAAACTAAAAAATATAAATATGAACAAATAATAGATAAAAATGCAAGAAAATGCAGATATATTATCACAAATTCTCACATATTTGCTTCATAGGATGTAGTTGGTTGCATAGACTGTAATAGTGAGTTGCAATAACGTTCGTAGGTCATATGGACCGTAATTGGAAGTTGCATGAGTTATGAGTCATGTAGGTCATAGTTTATCACATAGACCGTAGTGGTGGGTTGTGATAATCTCATTGAGCCAGAGAGGCCAGAGTTGGGAGTTGTAATGAGCTGTGAACCACGTAGGTCATAGTTGATCGCATAGGTCGTAGTGGTAAGCAACAATATGACCATAAGCCATACAAGGTTCGTAGCTGCAATAACATCTGTAGACTACAGAGGTTAGAGTTTGATGATGCATGATTTGTGAGTCATGTAAGTTGTAGTTAGTCACATAAGCCATAATGGTGAGTTGCAAGAGTATCAGTTGTCCACTAATCCCATAGAGAGAAGTTGCTAGAATAAAACTTCAAGAGTATGAAGAAAGTCATTGTATGCTAAGTATGGCGGTCGTAAGCTATTGCCATTGGAATCTATTGTCAGACCTTCAATATATCTTTATTAATTACCCAGTATTGGGGGTATATTACATTGTATTTATGGTGGATCGTTAAAAAACCGTATTAGAGGTGTTTCGTTACATCGTCTTTGGGGTATGACATTACACCATATTCAGCGTCCGTCGTTACACCACAATGTGCATCATGACTTTGTAAGGTGCTTCATTATAACATGCATTGTTACTCCACAAATTCCATTGATGATAATAAGCAGGGGTGGTCGACGGTGGTTGATAGCAACCTACAAGTGGTGATTGAAGGCGATCGAGGGTTGTTGAAGCAGAAAGTATTCATCGGGTCTTCGGTCCAGAGCAGCACTAGAACTCGACTCCTCCTCTTGGTCCAGCTCTATGTCTGTGCCCCTCATCCCACCCCCCACCTCCCCACTTCATGAAGGGGATAGGGCTCTCATTGGGAGTGGCATCCCCTTTAAATAAAGCATGAATTTGAACTAATCAACCAGATGTCCCAAGGTAATTCCTCTGAGTGAATAGTGTTTTTTTTTTTAACATTCAAGTGTCGTAATGATGTTATAATTGAATGAACTTAAGCTCGTTGAATTCATCTCATCGAGCTAATTAATTAAACTACAAATGTATTAGATCTGGAATTCATTCGACCCTCCAAGTGACCACCCAAAGCTTCTAAAAATGGCTTAATGGTTTTATTCGGGCACGATTCTACTTGGATCAGACCAATTTTTTTGTCATTGGGTATGTCTCGTCAAGCCGGTTATTGTGATTATAAGTTTGCCAAAATCAAAGTTATGAATGATTTTTAATTTGATTTTGAGTATTTCTTGCTCAAAAAAATGCCTTTAAATTCATGTCAAACATCTCGAGATTTGTGTCGAATGGTGAAATTTGTTGATGGTGCATCAATAGTGATGAATAAGTTAGTTATTTCAGTTTGCCTGACATATTATTTAAGTTTTATGTGTGTAACTTACTGTAATACATTAATGTCTTTTCATGTGCCACTTATATGATTATGGTTTGTTACATCTTAGTTGAATATGCATGCATTATATATATATATATATATATATATTATTGAAATAAACAAATTAAATTCAATTAAAGTATGTGTGGATAGTTTTCTTCTTGCATTATCTTTTTTGTGTGATGAGCAAACTGGTTTTTGCCTAGTTACCTCCCCTCAAGGGGAGTTGATCCTGGAGTGCTGTCAAAATCTAGACTGAACGAACATGTACTGAAAAGAATTTAAAGTAGATAGTTAATTATATAAATAACTTAAATAAAAGCAGATAGTAGTGAAATTCAAAGAAAATTGGATACTTTAAACACAAGCAAGCATACAAAAGCAACTATCGGCTCAATAGCTCGTCGTTGAGCTCGAACGAAATTTATTGAACTCAATGTTCATTTGCATGTATGAATACGACTAGTTAAGTGGAATAGATAGGCCATTAAATTTCATTCTAGATGTACTAAAGATGACTTAAATTGAACACAGTTAAATGGAAGAGGGACACGCAATAAATTTGGTAGCTCATTTATGTGCAAGGGTATGACTTGATCACTCTATCACGAGCACGAAAAGATTTGATACCTTATCTTTGAATTTGAACAGTTTAAGCTTCATGAATCTCTAAGAATTTGATATGAAGTAGTGGTGAAATAAAATGAAGCAAATGTTCTACCTATAGTTCAAACTTAATGTTTTGCTAGCATCATGATTATATTATATAAGAACAAACTTTTGATATCTTGAAATAATTGTAAGATTTCTGGTTATTCAAACTCTCCACCGGATTCACAGTCCCACTATACAAGCATATAACGACGACCACGAAGGCATTCAAATTGAAATCTTGTGCGTGTTTCATTATTGATTTGCTTGTGCAAGTTTATTTTTTTAATTTGAGATAGCTTTATGATTACTCGTTCACGAGGTCATTTCCAATTCTCACATATAGCCTTAATGAGCGTGCAAACATCCTAACCTTCATGTAGAGGTCACTGAAAGTGCACAATTACAAAATTATGTGTATTTAGTCGGTCTAAACAACCTCAAGTCATATATTTATTTCATCAAATAATATTTTGAGGCACAAAGTATGTCCATATGCAGCTTGTAGGCATACTGAGATTAATGAACAACAATGTAGGAGACTACTGAGATGTATGCATATTTTTAAAGGCTAACCATCAATAATACTTTGAAATTATAAATTTATCAAAGCCACTGCTACAATGCATCATGCAAGCGCGTCAAAACATATGCTAATACCCTGCAAAAGCACATGGAAATATCTCCACTTCATAAAATCTTCATTCCCATATCTGCTTCTACCATTATAATAAATGTTCCATCGTACCGTCCGAGATTGAATTGCTATGATAGGAGAAGTGTGCGAGATAGTAAAACGACCAATTACATTGAAAATTTTAAATTCATTTAAAATATAAAAAAACATTCAAAATTTAAATTTAAAAATTGACACTATCAAGCAAGTCACGTTATCTATGGGACAGGGTCGTAAGTCTCATCAATCCAATTTGATCCTTCTCTTAATAGGGACAATAGTCGACAAGATTGAGCTATCATTTTGTTAGTCTGTTCATTCTCCGTGTCAGAATTAAATTTGATGAGATTGATTGAAGATTGGATATTGCTCTTCTATAAAATATTGGCGGAGTATTTTATCTTTATATCCATAGAGAATATTCAAACACTTCATTAAAAGAATTCAACTCAAGCCATGATTCACAATATTATTGTATTTTCTAAATTAAATAAAAATAGCAATAATAAGATTAATTGATAGCCCTAATTTTTAATAAATGTGATAGAGTTGATAAAGTTCAAATTTACCTAAATCCCTGATAATGGTCAAGCTAATGAATAATTTCAATATGACGAATATATTTTTTAAATTAAGGTACAAACTTATTTGAATAAATTCAACTCATGAACTCTGTTTAAATTCAATCATATATCAATCCTAAACCTGATCTTTTACAAGCAAAAATATAAGGTTAACATGATTCAAATCATGCAGTGATAGAAAATTTGAACAAGAGAGATTTGTTTTTAAAATTAAGCACCCAACTTTAATTGAAATTAAGCAGACACTTGTTATAGGTGATTTGAGCTAGAATTATGTCAATCACAACGACAACCCTTGCATAATTTTCGATGATTTGAATGCAACTGTTGAGTCCATTTTTACAAAAGGGCATTGTTTGTGCAGGAGTACAAGTATGCTCGAGGCATTTCAAATTTAATCTTGCATTGTTACCTTTTCCCTTACTCTCGCCATTTACAATCGACTTATGTTATGGAGTATATGTGAAGTCAACATATATTTTATTTATAATTTCAGTTAGAACCTTTCAATCTTCAAAAAGCAGACTACTAATCCTTAAAGACAAATTCAAACAAAGATTGATGATAAACTTTTCAATAAGAGATTTATATATGTTTTTTTTAATCATAAACTTTTCAATAATAGATTGTTTGACAAATAAGTGAACTACATAATTACGCAAAGCGATTAAGCAATTACAGTAACTGATTGGCATATGCCTACAAACAAGAAAAGTTGACACCAAAAGCAATTAAGCAACTTCAGTTTTTTTTTTTTTTTTTTTTTTTTTTTTTTATCTATTTATTTATTTATTTTGAAGTTCCCAACAAACAATACTATTTTAAACTTATTGAGCGTCTTATTTAAAAACATTTTAGAAATTAAAAAAATATTCTTTTAGTAAATTAATAAATTAAAGACATACTCCAAACAAATTTTTATAATAATAACAACCTGCATATTATTATTTTAAAATTTTAAACAATGATTTTATTCAATCATTGATTACATAAATATATGTTTTTATAACAACAATGCATAAGTTGCATCTCAAACAAACGTGACCACTATTGGGCTACTAGCATAATACTTCCCAGAATCCCAATTCAATCGCCCTTCTTTCACCTCACCGGCAGCTGGCTTAGGCAAGCCCCCCTTCAAACTAAATTTCACCTCATAGCTCATCTCTTCCCCTACCTGGTTAAATTGTAACGTGTTTGGGGTTACCTCAACCCTCACCCCTTCTGGGTCCTTCACATCCACAATATAAGTTGACCCTGCATCCCCGACATTTGTTACTTTCCTCATCACCCGCACCTCTGGTTTGTTGCCTCCGATACTCACACTAAAGGATGGATAATTAAGTTGCTCTGGCGCTATGGATTTTACCTGCCCGCAATTCACCCCAGTTTTTATGATCATTTGTACTGGAATATTCGATTTATAGTATCCACATAAGTAATGGACATAGTCATAGTAGTTTAGCTCATATATAATCCCAGGTTTCGTGGCTGCTTCTGGATCTATATGGCCTGCTCCTTGCTCGAACACCGTAGCGGGAGTACCTTCGTATTCGTCTGTGATTGGATTCCCTTTGCGGTCTAATATATATGCGGTTGTCATAATCGCTGATTTGATTGCCGCCGGTGACCAGTTCGGGTACTTGTTTCTTAATAGTGCCACGATGCCAGACACATGTGGAGTAGCCATGGACGTACCGCTTAAGAAGTTAAATATGGATTTGGTGGGCCCCACCGTTCGCGGCCACGCAGCTAGAATACTGACTCCTGGTGCAATGATATCAGGTTTTATGATGCCTCCATTGGTCAAGCTCGGTCCACGTGATGAGAAGACGGCGACGGCTGGGGCAGAGTTAATTCCAAATAGAGTCCCACGAAAGTTTATCGCTGCAGTCGGGTTCGTTGTGCTGCGATAGTATTGGTCTATGGCCTGGGTGCCGGTGATGTTGACGTTTGAGGCGGGGAGCTCATGCGCGAAAGCGTTAGTGGTCCCTCCTGCTTGCCAATGATTCAACAAAATCATGGCTTTGCCACCGGAGGTCAACACATTCCGGCCACGCTCATCATCATCTATGTCAAAGCGAAAGCACATAACAATTTTATCCCGGAGATTTAATTTCTTGAGCTCAACCAAGTGACAACCCATAGAATCGGGTGTTCCAAGCTGGTCGGCTGGGAATGCGAGTGGTATTTGAGTTGAAGGAAAGGTCCCAGGCTGGTAAGCCGACTCACCCGCTAACTCCGAGCCATTTCCGAGCAACACTGAAGCCATTATTCTTCTATCGACAGTACTCGCACCAACAGTTAGTATCCATGGCGCGTCATTAGCTAATATGCTCGGTGTTGGCCCCTCGTTCATCATGCAAGCACATGGAACAATCCCTTTTGTTATAGCCGCACTTGCTATAGCTGCAAATGAGCCAATAGCAACCGGACTATCATACAACTCAAGCTTGACCGCCCCAAGCGACATTTGAAGAATATCAACATGGTCACGAATGGCCTGTTCTATAGCAGCATAGATATCTGCATCAGTACCTGTAGAGTGGCCTGATTGGCCAAGAAACAGGACTTTATAAATAGCAAGATGAGCACGTGGGGCCATGCCAGAGGCTGGCCCCGCCACCGGCAGCCTGCCCGATCACATTGGCATTATTGACGAAATTTCCAGCTGCTGTGCTAGCAACGTGGGTGCCATGGCCATCATTGTCGTACGGGTTAGAGTAAACTCTATAACGAAATGCGACGGCTCCGAGGAGCTTGTTGTTGCAAATACGTGCATTTCTCCAATAGCATTTGCCACTCCACTTTAGAGGAGCAGGGGCCATCCCATGGTCATTGAAGGAGGGATGATATGGGTTGATGCCACTATCGATGACACCGATAATTTGACCGGCGCCCATGGAAGAGTCATACCATAGGGTGTTCGATGGTTTTCCTTTAAGGGAAAGGAAGGTGGGGGTGTAGGTTGTGGAAGCATAGTGTTCTCGTTCTGGGTTAGCTTGGATGAAGCCATCAAGGGATTCCATTGCTTCGACTTCTTCGGGGGTTAAGCGGGCTGCAAAGCCGGTGATGACTTCACGATAGGTGTATATCATCCGAGGTTCGCCGGAGGCGAGGGTAGCATTTGGCAGAAAAGACATGTACCAATTTTTGAGGTCGCGTAATCGAAGTGGACGGCTGGAGATGCGGTGAGGCTTCTCCACGTGGACGATGTAAACAGGGGTTTTGGTGGGGTCGATGCCGCCACCTTCGTTGGTGATGGGGAATTGTTGGGAGTGGAGCAAGGGAAATGAATGAGATGAGAAGGGATGAGAATATGAGGAAGATGAAGATGATAAGGATGGCGGTACCCATGGAAATTTATATTATCAATTTTAGGAAACTAAGTGATGGCTGATGATGCCTCACTGTCTAAAAGAGTCCTATTTATTTCCCAAATGAAAGGTTGTAATGATTAAAACATGTTATGATTAGAACAAATTATTGACCAAGCTTTTTTTATGTTATGATTAGAACAAATGATGGACCAAGCTTTTTATTTTTATATTTTATTTTGCATGGGATACTTTGCTTCCTATTCCTGTTGCTAACATTATTATTATTATATTGTAATAGATGCTATATATACATATATAATTTGTTATCATTTATTGTTTTATTGTGCAGTTGGTGAAATGAAGAAAGGTAAAATGTAAATTTTAGATGCTAGATATGTAAATTCATCTGAATTGGGTCCGCGAAGGGGCAGATCTCACGAAAGAGGAGGATTTCCACGACAGCTAGCACACACCACGACAGAAGCACGCGAAGTACGTCGCGACAACTCTCGGAATTCAGTAGGTGCTTAGCGGAGCAGATTTCAGATGTTAGTGGGGATCAAGCCACAATACTGGGTTCCACCAAATTCGACATCGAGAAATTCAACGGGAATAATGATTTCAGTCTATGGAGAGTAAAGATGAGAGCTCTATTGGTTCAGCAAGGTGTTGCAGAAGCCTTGCAAGGGTCGGCGACATTGCCGGCCGACATGACCGAGAAGGAGAAGATCGACATACTGGACAATAACACTTATTTTATACTATTTTTGATGATATTGCACTTTAAAGAAATGTATTTTTGATGTTTTGTTGCAGGAATGATGAATTAGGGTCATTGGAGCAAAAAGATGCAAAAAGAAGCAAATTTGGAGCGAAAAGGACCAAAATGTGGAGATATGAACTAGGGCACTGACGGCGCCCTTGACGCTGCCGACGGCGAGTTTTTCCAGATGCTACAGGAAAAAATTCTTCAGAAGTCCGCCGACGGTGCCCTCGAGGCCGCCGACGGCGAGCTCGGCGGTTATGCCTACTCAAGCTTTGGATAAGTCCAAATTTTGAGGGGATGCTTAGGCAACTCTTGGGAAAGCTCATCTACAACTTTAAAAGAACGTTGTGGCCGAAAATTTGGAGGGGGCTAGAGAGTCCAGAAGAGGGAGAATTGCTAGACAGAGTTCTTAAAGGTTAGAAAAGTTCCAATATTGTGAGGAATTCTTCGAGAGATTGTAAGAGTGGAGGGAAAGTAAGAGATTTCTTCCCCCTTGCTACTTCGAAGCCCTTGCTACTTCGAAGAGGAA